AATAAACACTGACCTCTGAAAAGAGAGATGGGATCAATGGGTGCAATGCATATGGAGGAGTGTGTATCCCCTGTCGTCCGGTCACACCCGACGTGTGCTCTATGTTATGATCACTTAAGGACAGATGATACAAACACATTTTTTCTTTGGAATAGACTTAATATCATGTCAAAAGTTTAGAAAATTGGATAATTCTTAGCATTTTTTTTTTTATAAGAACTGGAAAATGAAATAAACTTGGAAAATATTAGTACATTATATTTCAATAAAAATGCAAATATGGACAAATCACACTAAGTAGAGGTTTACAGATGAAAACAAATTTCAGAATATGTTAGCTTGGTGCTAAAAATGTAATTTAAAATTTAGAAAAATATACCAAGCCAGGTGAATTTTATTAAGAAAAGCAAAATGGTAAAAATCAGCCTATGTGTTATTGGTGATTTTTTGTCATTTTGTATTTCCTCATAAAATTCACCTGGCTAGGTATATTTTTCTAAAGTTAATATAACACTTTTAGCACCAAGGTAACATATTCTGAAATTTGTTTTCACCTGTTAACCTTTACTGAGTGTTTTTGTCTATATTTGTTTTTTATTGAAATATTACTAATATTTTCCAAGTTTTTTTCATTTTCCAGCTCTTAGGAGAAAAAACTGCAAAGAATTATACACTTTTCTAAACTTGTGACATGATATTAAGTCTATTCCAAAGAAAAACTTTGTTTGTATCATCTTTCCTTAAACGAAAAAAGACAACTCAATGTGAACATAATGGTCGAAATATTCCAGATTGTATACATTTGCAATCAATGTCATTGTATCAACTATAGAACATTGACTTAATGCGAAATTACTTCATCACCTTATTTGGCTATTGCTGGACATTGATCGTTCGTGATTCCTACTCTTGAGTATCTATATACAGGTTTCGATCAAACAAGGTTACAGTAGAGAAACTTAAGTCGTCATTTTTATCATGATTGATTGCTTGTATGTTGTTTTAAGTCCAAATTTGAGAATATTTCACCTATCTAGTTGTCTCCATTACTGGTGAAGGACTTCATATTTTGACCTTTACTCAGCACTTACGGCCATTCTTTATCGTACCAACGTCTACCGTGACACGGGGCCTCGGTTTTTAAGGACCTGGAAGGTTTACCTCAAGTGGCCAAACGCATAGAATCTACCTCAATCGCAACTTCTCGGGCCTTTCCGACTATAGCGGAAAAACGACCTCGAATGTATATGTTAGACGCCATAACAACCCTCCTTTTTCACTATCTTTGAAATAAATGCATGGAGACCTTTTATCTGTGGAATATGGAATTTAACTTTTATTCAATGTCATGATATTACCTAAAATATACTATAGAAGGGACTTCTAAGTCTATCCTATATTTGAATAAACAGGAAGTGTATAAATTTTTAATATCCGGTGATGTTAATACATTCGAGGTTGTTTTTCCGACCTCTGACGAAAACGGAAAGACCCGAGATGATGCGATTGGAATCTAACTTTACGATAATGAGAAACATTGCTTCTTTACATGTATCTAGTTATCATTTTATATATCCTTTCTCTTTTCTATTTTCTTAACCATAAGCATTTAGTTATGCATGTAGAAAGTAAAGCTTATCAACAGTAACGTTTAGACTAGCTAATTCCAAACTGTCAATGTAAAATTTACAAGTTTTATAGAGGGAACAGTTACTTGTATATACAAGCTGGTACTTTAATTGAAAAAAAAGATTTACATGTAGCCCCCACATGTCGTCGAGAGCTAATTAGCATTATTTTTTAAAAGTATCATAAAACAATTTCTTGCTCTTATCTACATCTGGTTTTGTTTGAAATTAACTTCACAAACTGATTTCGATATTTATAGTCTAATTTATTAACCTTCTTTTGGTATAAAATTTCGTGATTTTCACCGCGAGATGCAACATCTTAAAGCTAGAGAAATTTAAGGTAAGACCTTTTCCTAAAGATATACATGTATACTTTTTAATATTTAGGGGAAGCATAAAGCTTCTTTCTCAATATTTAGCATGTTCAATGTCAAGCACTTTTGTCAAGACGACGGTTATATTTGAATATTTACATTTCCAATGTCTTTGTCCGAGATAAAATTACCAATTGTAAATGTAATTGATTTCCTCATGAATGTTTTGGCGCGGTTCCAAAAAAAACCACGTGCAGGGCGGGACAACACCTAGAGAGAAGCAGGCTTGGAGCCCGTGGATTGGCGGAATCAAAGCATGTAAATATAAGGAATAACTGTCAGATTTTTCTAATTCATGAAGATGATCAATGGATTGGCTTGTGTGATAATTTTATGCATAAACGCCTTCGGCGTTTATGCAAATTATCACACAAGCCAATCCATTGATCACTTCATGAATTCGAAAAATAAGACAGTTATTCCTTAAACACTTTCTTTAAATTGCGAAATCAACCACATTTAAATTCGTTTTTGGCAAATGATATACATTACTTTAAAAGTTGAAAGAAAAATAGGATAAACTAGAGGTACTGTGAGCAATGAGCTCACTAAATAATACCCCCCGCCTCCCATATGAATATAATGGCAGTATCCATGTTTTGCTCTGGAAAATCCGAAATATATGTCAGATCAAAAAGTAAAATAAAAGGTTCGCAATGACATTACGTAATAAAGATTCTGTGAAAGTTTCATAAAATTTCCTTCAGTGGTATGAGAGGAGTTGCGGATAAGAAATGGGTACCCCAAAGCGTAACAGAGGGACGGACGCACATACCAATTACTATATACCCTCCCACTTTTCAAGCGGGGGTATAAATATAAAGCCAGCTATATGTTATATTTATTCTGATGCAATGTTAAATGAAATAGAGCTATAGAAGGGACTTACACAAAAATAAATTCTTAAATATCTTTCAAATGAAATTTTATTAATTTCTAAAATGTTACCTTATTATATTAGTATATTATTTCAGTGAAAATGACAGTTTAAAATATGATAATCTTGTTTACCTACAAATTATGCCCCGAAACACCTTATTTGACCAAGCTAAACTTATACAGCATCATTTAAGGAATTTACTTCTCAAATTGAAAAATCTGTAGGCACCTTTCTTTTACTAGATCTTGACCTTAAATGTTCGTAAATATCACAAGAGTTAACAAAAGTCAAATGAAACAATAATCGGGAGCAGAATAAACAAGGACCTCTAAAAACAAATAAGGTGGGATCAGGTGCCATGAAGGAGTAAGCATTCACTTTCTACCGGCCACAACCGTCGTGTGTTCTTTGACAGGTAAATTGTAGTCAAAATGAAGGTCTTATAAATTGTTTAATAGACGTTATTAAACATTTCACCTCACGTCTGATTGTACATGTAAATGCAAACAACATCATTGTATTGACCATGGAATTTGCGAAATGTTGACGTCAAATGAGGTTGTAGTAACCTTTGAAGCATTAGCTTGCTCCATTTTTTAAAATATTCGAAAGGAGAACTCACTCATGTGTATAAAATCAACTGGTACATACAACTGGTATAAACCCATATACATTTGAAAATTGTATATTACCAGAAAAGAAGAAAGGATGTTAAAAAAATTACAAAAAAATATTAATCTAGATCTGTGAAAAGGGCATCAAGCTTTAAACACACTCAAACTTTACGGTAAATTGACTTCCCCAACAAATTCCCAAATTAAAAAAAAAGGAACTCAGAAAATTCATTCTCTTGTGAATGGTAATCGTCGCAAACTACGGCCAAAATATACGATCATCTTCCATTCTGGGAGATTGCTATAAGCGGACTCCGAACAGTGGCTTGAGACGATGGTGAATGGTCATCTTCAAAAATAATGAAAATCATTTGGATCATACACACGACACAGAACCACGAATTTGAAATTGAAAAAATGCTAGATTTCTCTATTAACAACACTTATTAAGTTTTTGGAGAGCTTGTCATTTAACAAATTTTTTGAAATCCAATGGGTACTATTAATAAAATTTCGTATGGCATATTGACAACTTAACTTTATGACAAAAGGGATACATGTAGTTTTTCTATCATCAGCTCTCTCATTTTATATCTTCTTATATGTAATAATATTCCTCAGTCATCTGTATATGGCGTCTGTGTCTCCCATCTCTCTCACAACTCCCATGCATGCAAAAAAATTATACTAAAACAGTGTACTTAGAAAGTTATTAAAAAAGTTATTAGAAAGACAGACCTTCCCGGATTTCTTTTCAGTTTGCCCGATAATGACAAGGAACACATAGCAGTGTTGACCCGTCGGCAGGGGATGCTTTTCCTCCATGGCACCTCAGCCGGGCTTCATAGTTTTAGGGATACGTGCTTTGCTCCCGATTAGTTTATATTGATTGATTGTTGTGCTTGATTATTGTTTGTTATTTATAAATATAGTTATCTGTCACTGCAAATAAATACATATTTTACTTTTATTATCGTGATGAACACTTTTTCCATAGTTTTAAATAAAATTAACATGATTGTTTTAATGTCAAAATAAGTCAACCACTTCTCGATTTACATTATTGATATTGATTCATATTATGGAAAAAAAATCCTGCAATCGTAATAAGCGTACGTCGCTAATAGCAGAAGCTTATCACACGTAAGCGGTCGTATATTCTATTATATAAAATTTGACAAGTTCTTTGCTCAGAGATAAAAATGCATGGACAATGTATCAATAAAAAATCTCCAAAGTCTGTTCACGCAATGCTAAAATTGGATACAGTACTATTTGTTAACAAGTAAGCCAGACAACTGATAGATGATAACAACAGAAGCCTATAGAGAGGAAGGATTAGCGTTCAATTGCTTAAAAATTGATTGACAAATATAGTTAACATGCAATATAACAATGCATCCTACGTTCAGCTGTTCCAGGTAACTCTCCCAATTGCCATATTTCTTAGCAGTACAATATATCTTCCTGGATTAAAGTACTTTCAGGGTATTCATTTAAATAACACGTTAAATATATATATTTTTTCTTCTTCCTTGTGAAAGCATTTTGAGAGCCAAGACAATGATTAAGGTAGGCTATACACAAATATTATATTATATTTAAATCTTAATTTAATAACTTAATCAAGTGAATGTTAAAAATTGAACATCATTGTTTGTTTCTTTGTATCATTTCACACAAAGAATGTCTTAAATATGTTCTAAATTATTTGAACGAGTGAGACGACAATCTATAAATGATTATTTTTAAAAAGGAAAACATAAAATAACAAGACGTCATGAAGTTAACATGCTTAAAAAGCTTTTTCTCTTAGCGCATGACCAATTTAGAATAAAAAGTAATTCTTAACACAGCAGAAAATAGTAACTTCAAAATACAGATAACTCTTCTTGTAGACCATTTCTAATTTGATGTGCAGAGTTTCAAAAAAGTCTTGTTTTTCAAATGAATGGCTTACTTAGCCCGGTTCATTAAATATGAGGTTTGAGGATACAGTTGTCTGTGATTACACGTATCGGTATTCCACTCAACTTTATCTCGACTTTAATAACACCCAACTTTTTTTCGAACGTGAATAAATTAAAATGTTGGAACACTGGTCAAGAAAAAAAGAAAATGATTAATAAAAAGGCATACATAAAAGAAAAAATTATTAGTTATTTTCTAAATGCACTTATCACTAAAAAAAGCTTTTAGCACTTTTTGATAATTGCATTTTAGATCAAAATTTCACAAGTTTTGGTATTGATGCTGATAACCGGTGCATTCATTGAGGATTCCAATGGGGCTTGGTGGTTTTTCAGGAGATGGACAAGAAGCCGCAGATCTAGAGTAAAGTTACCTGTGACCACACAAGCACCAGTCTGCCCTCGTCTTTGTGGCTTCAGTTGTGAACCATCAAACAAATGCGGAAAGTTCTGCTGTTTTTACTGTTACCGAAATTGCAATGGAAAACATCAGGATATTGTAATTTGAAGTTTTGTTTGTTTGTTGGTAGTTTTATAAAACGTCCTTCTCGATTTTTTTTTCTCTCATATGGAGACGACTATTTAAAGTTTTTAATTTCGAAATTGACCTTAAAATGAATTTGTTATTTGTCTGTAAACACTAATATGACAATTTTCTCTCCTTTACAAGAACCTGCCATGTAAATTTTCCCTTTGGGACAAGAATGGGGACGGTGCTGTTAACAAGACAGAATTTGTGAGCGTGACACAAGCGAACAAGAATGTGGATGTTGATTACATTTTCAACACGTCAGACAAAAATGGTAATATATTTGAATAATTTAATTAAATGTTTCATTGCATATTGTTTTCCTTTTTATCAGAATATCTTTTTATTTAAAAATATTTCATTTCTGCAGCTGATAACGTCCTTTCAAAGGAAGAGCTACAAAATGCACCAATTATTATGGAGAAGTGTTAAGTGACAACAACTGCTTAAATTGTCACACAAGTCTAGTTGAGTTTTTCAGAAATAAATTCAAAACTGTTGTGTTTAAGTTATTTTGTTAGAAATTATCTTTTGTCAGCATGTCATCTGCTTTTTCCTGTTAGGCACTGGGAACATTTTGATCTCTCATGAATTACTTAAAATTGTTAATCCCAAAACTTCCTGTGATTATATCTATAATATTGAATATATATTGTTTTCTATTAGTTTGATATTATTGGTCTTTTTCCCCGAAAGGTTCTATACTGTTCTTGTCTAAACAGGGTCTATTTGTAAGCTTGAGCACTTTGGAAATTACAAACGAGATCATGTTGATTTTCCGTAAAAGAAAATTGTAACATGTTAGGTGCAGTGTGAAACGAAGTTTTTTTATCCTGCTCACAGATTTTTGTTATATAAATGGACTTTCAGCATTTTAATATTTCACTAATATGCTAGAAACATGACACTATGCCATCACAGGAAGCTGCATACAGTATATATCCAGAAAAGACCCTCTTACATTTACAATGGTTTTATGTAAAAGACGAAAGAATAGTAAGCAACTATACGTACATATATTATAAAATTCTGCCAAAATGTTCTTCCAGAAATTCATATTTTTGCTTTCAAATCAACCACAGCCCCCATAGAAATTTTAATCCCCAGAAATGGCCGGCAACATGGGATGCTTACTTTTCCTAGACACCCGATTCCACCTCTGGAATTGTCAGGGCTCCGTTTTATGCTCTCTTTAGATACTTCTTTTGTTGATATATTTTTTTTTTAGATCGATTCTGTTTGTTATCTTTTCACCTATCTACATTACATTCTTACATATAAATATACTTAATTTATCTGTTCTTGAAAAGATTTTTTGAAGATTTCTCATATTTTTTAAATTAAATTGCCTATCATGGCCCCGTTCAAACTCCAGTCATGATTTGAACAAACTAGAATCTACACTAGATAATGTAGTTTTCATTAAAGTTATATATTTTTTCTGGCATCGTGTTTTTTTTATCATCACTCTTTGAAAGAAGGCATGGTCCTTTATTTGAACATAATTAAATTTCCTTTACCCAATGATGCTTTGTATCATGTTTGTTTGAAACAAACTCATTTGTTTTGGAGAAGATGAAATTGTGATATGTTAAGTACGACATGAACACCGATGCCAATGAAAGTCAGTGGACAAATTTTAATCAGTAAAGTTACCTTGAACCTTAGGTCGCATATAGGTGAGCTAATGCGAATAATAAAATAATACCAATAGTGGAAGGTTTAAGAAATTTAAAATATGATCATAAGTAAAGCTAAGAAAGAATGAATAGGCAAATGCTGTGTTTTTCCTTTTTTTTTATCAATTTTTCAATTCACAATTTTTCTTTTACTGTTTGATTTATGAGAACATACATGTAAAGTGGATTTAATACATGAGTAGCAGGATGAGCTACGTCTTGACTTATTGCATTGATTATATAATGAAATGCATTAATTCTTCAATTCTAAGTCTAAAATTTGCTTTCGATGCCGATGGAATTCTCGCAGCGCTGCTCTACACTACACGGTGAATGGGAGTAAGATAGAGTTTATTGGAACAGGACCTTTAGCTGAGAAAAATTCCTGTTAATGAATTTTTTGCATATTTTTTATATTACTAATTTAATATGTACTTAACATTTTAAAACTGTCCTTTCAAGGGATTTCTCGACTTATTAAAAAAAAAACCTACAAATACCACCCTGTATAGAGTTAGTATGGAGTTTAGATACTTCATGTTTACGGGCCCATAACGGAGTCCATAATGCGATTTTTTACGCACAAATAATAAATATGTTAGGTAACACTATTTATTATATAGCTAATAAATATTCTCTAATAAAATACTACCAAAAATCTAGAGAATTTTAGCGTTCAATATCTTGACGTTTAATTGAACGCTGAGTTTGTATTACATATACAAGTATGCCGAAACATTCCAAATACGAGCGTTTAATATCGAAAGCCCCGTTGTAAACAAAAAAAGTCGTCTGGTCAAATTCTCAGAGCTAAATTAAAGAAAGGAAGTGGCATCTAGGTAAGATGTGTTTATTTTTTACACAAAAATGAAATTATTTATTAAAAATTCACTACATATTAGACCCATTAAAACCTAAATAAGCAAATAATTACGCTCTGTAGGGTCGTCGGAATGATGCGATATTGAACACTTGCAGGATAGGCGTTAATTTGAATACCAATTAATACTAAAAAATCATTAATTTGGGTATTTTTAGTTGGAATAATTATTTTAAATTATGAAGAATTGTTTTAGCTATTTAATAAAGGAGTTATTGAACTTGTATTGGTGAATATCGGCACTCGTTGACTGTACAAATGCACTCGCAAGCTCGTGCATTTGTACAGCCAACTTGTGCCAATTTTCACCAATATAAGTTCAATAACCCTATAATACTAAAATATTTCAGAATAGTCATAGTGTTTAAATTATCTGAAAGCATTTGATTTAATTTCATATAGCATTTGGGTGGGATGATTTCTGCATTTTTCAAGGCAGGTTCAACGACAAAAAACTCATTTTGGGAAAAAATATGACTGTCTAAATTTACGATTGAATGTCAGTACTTCATCGTAATAATAAACTGCATACATGTAAATATCGCAGGGTGAAGCTTGCCTCAGTATCGCACAGGTCATCGTTGAATTAGACGAAAGTATGATAAAAACGCTTCACGTTTGCATTTTCCGAGTGCGGGAAATCAATTGTTACGTCGCATGAAAACATAAACATTCAAAATTATCTAAATAGAGAGAATCTCTGCTACTAAACACGAAAAAATATTAATTAAAAAGAATCTGCTTCAGAAATTTATCACGACAATGTCCTGTTTATTACGAAATAAAATTGATCATGACGGGTGTAGCTAATGTGTGTACTTGATCTCGCTTCACTGAGAATTCAAACACTACGTCTATGACGTCACTGACGTCAGACTGCAGGGAAAAGAGATTCGGCACTTTCACAATATCTAAAAGTTGGCAAGATCTTTAAAAATTTTAAATATTAATTTCTAAAATTAAATGTTTAAAAAACAATTTTAGAATAAAATTACACAAGAACAGATGATTTCAACAACGTTTAGCTTTTAGCATGTACATCAGCATCGACGATGACGTAATCTGTGTTTTTAGTCATGTGACATGTGCCCTGTCTCCCCTTAATTAATTAAACTGTATCTTACTCCTATTCTCTATCATCATTTAGTGTAGCGCCGCGAGAATTCCATCGGCATCGAAAGCAAATTTTATACTTATGCCCTGTTCACACGATGAGTTTAATTCGCAGTAAATTAATGCGAAGTAAACTAATGCGCATCAAAGTAATGCGAATTAAATTGCGTTCACACGACAGCTAAAGCTAAGTAAAATAAATGTGAATTAAAATTTTATTTCTACAAAAAGGCTATTCAGTAGGGCTATTATGACGTCATTTGTAAATCAAGTCATGTATGCAGAGCCACCCATTTGATATAATAATCACAGTGACTACAGGTAAACATTTAGTGATTAACATACTTTTCCTTGATTTTTAAACAAAATATGGCGCAATTACATATATCTAACCACAAGCGTATGTGCTGTGACTTAATTCTATTTACGCATACCTCAAAATTTAATTCAAATTAGCTACGCTTAAAATTATGTCCATCACAAATGTTGACTCACTGTTAAAACTGTCTTTATTTGCTAAAAAGATATTGGCCTGATTCTAGTAACTATTTTCTTTAAGGTCAGACGAGACGTTCCTCAATATCTGTTTTGTTTATCTTCGTAATGTATGAAAAATATTCACAATTTTAATTACATTCTGATTTCTAAACCAGTTTCTTCACATCTTTAAAAAATCAAAACACTTAATCATTTGAAATTGGAGAATTATTTTCTTCCCAAAAGGATTATATAAGAAAAACTACCCCTGGTATCTTCCACAAATGCGTGGTAAGGTACCTTATTTTTTTTTGTGAGTAAACATGTTTAAGTAGCAATACTTCAATGACAAAATCTTGGAAAATTATAAATTTTATTAAGGAACGTCTCGTCTGTCCTTAATTGACACTACTCTTCCTTACCTGACTTTGTATTTTGTATATATGAAAATTATTTTAAGAACTTTTTTTATGTAAACGAGTGGGCTATTCCTTCATGTAAGAAGTCACGAAAATCATGGCCAACAACATCATACCAACACATTTGTCCAGCACAGACCAGCTGCATTTAGCAGCATTTATCCTGCACAGACCCTCTGGTAGAGTCAGCGACATTTAGCGGCATTTGTCCAAGACAGACCCTCTGGTAGAGTCAGCGGCATTTAGCGGCATTTGTCCAATACAGACCTTCAAGTAGGGTCAGCGGCATTTAGCGGCATTTGTCCAAGACAGACCCTCTGGTAGAGTCAGTGGCATTAAGCGGCATTTCTCCAGCACACACCCTCTGGTAGAGTCTGTGGCATTTAGCGGCATTTGTCCAACACAGACTCTCTGGAAGAGTCAGCGGCATTTAGCGGCATTTGTCCAACACAGACCCTCTGGTTGTGTCAGCGGCATTTAGCGGCATTTGTCCAAGAAAGACACTCTGGTAGAGTCAGCGGCATTTAGCGGCATTTGTCCAAGAGAGACCTCTGGTAGAGTCAGCGGCATTTGTCCAAGACAGACCCTCTGGTAGAGTCACGGCATTTAGCGGCATTTGTCCAGAACAGACCCTCTGGTAGAGTCAGCGGCATTTAGCGGCATTTGTCCAGAACAGACCCTCTGGTAGAGTCGGCGGCATTTAGCGGCATTTGTCCAACACAG